AAGTCATTCAGTTTAACAGAGTTGAACTTCTCCTTTAGGACGGAGTCAGACTGAAGATCTATCAGTTCCAACTGCAGCTCCTGTGGTGCTGTTTCAGGGTCTTGTGACAGAGGACAGGACACCAGCTGAAGTGACTGTTCAATGTTTTCGAAATCAGAGAACCTACGGCAGAATTCTCCGTGCAAGTCCTCAAGCGATTTGCTGTATTTTTTTGCGTTTCGCGGTGCCTCTTCCTGCATGGAAAGTGTGGGGAAATGAGTGAAAGATTTGTTCACAATTTGTATGGAGAACAAAGTGAGCTTGGATTTGAAGGCTTTCACATGTTTGTACATGTCGTGAACAAATTGATCTTTCCCCTGCAGTTTCACATTCAGCTCATTCATGTGTGAAAATATGTCCACAGCAAACGCAAAGTCACTAAGCCAGTTGTTGTCGCTTAGCTCAGGGAATTCGTCAGATTTCCCCATCAACTCCAAAAATGCGATGATGTCCTCTTTCAGCTCCCACACTCGTAACACTTTCCCCAAACTTAACCAGCGGACACAAGAGTAAGTCCTGATGATCCGCATCAGTTTCCTCCAGGAACGTAATAAACTGACGGTGCTGAAGTCCCCTTGCTCGTATAAAGTTTACAAGTTTTACGACTGGATTCAAGACATGAATAAGCTGCAATACAGACTTACACAGGGATTCCTGATGGATGATGCAGTGAAGGAAAATAAGATCCTGGACAGGGTTTTCCTCTCACTTTATCCTGGATTCTTTTCAGCAGCCCAACATATTTTTCAGTTAAATTTGGCGATCCATCCGTCGTGACATTGACAAGTTTACTCCGACGTAGCATCATTCTTTCGATGACAGCAGATACCTGGTTATACAAGTCCTCTCCCCGCGTTGTTCCGTTCAGGGATTCCATGGTCAAAAACTCCTCTGTTACTGCAAAACTGTCGTCAATGCCTCGGATAAAAATGAGGAGCCGAGCAGTGTATTTTACGTCCGTACTTTCATCCAGTGCTAGTGAATATAACTCAAAGGAATCAGACTTTTTGTTTAATTGACTGGCTATATTTTTATCAATCAGTTCCACACGGCGAGTCACAGTCCTGTGTGATAAACTGACTTTTTCAAATTTGCTTTTGATCTCCGGACACAAAATGTCTGCTGTCTGTACCATGTATTATTTTAAAAACTTGCCTTCGGAGAAAGTGGTAACGAGTGGTAATGTTGGTGAGAAGAAGTTTTAAAAGAAAATTTTAATCGAAGTGAAGGAAATTATTGAAAAGTTTGTATAAGTAATGATTTTTCAAACTTGAATTATGTTTTCTGTGCTTAAAACGCTTTAAAAAACTGTGGGGTCTAGAACGGACTCGTGAAATTCGGAGAGAACTCGGAGTTAAGTTTTGTTGAATTACATAAAGTGCGCCATCTAATGGGGGAATTACAGGAGGAAGGTAACATTTAATATAATAATAATATTTGGACAAGTTCGGCGGGCCGGATTAAAAAGCCCAACGGGCCGTATACGCCCCGCGGGCCGTACTTTGCCCATGTCTGTCCTAGAATCAACCCACTCGCGCCTGCAACATGGCTTCATCCCAGAGGTCGCAATCGGGTACCCGTACCCTACCCGTTTGCGACCCTGGTGCGGCCGAGTATGGGTGCGGAATCAAAACCCGTTTGAGACCTCTGATTCAAAACCAAACTGGAATTATGGGGGCGACGAGTGAACATTGGAACTTTTGACATGTTTCAAACACTAGCAGGGATTTTGAAAGAGACTGAGCCAGGGCATTTCTCCCAGCTGGTGCATTAAAGCCTATCTCAGCTTTTAAAAGAGTTTGAGCATTACTTCCCAACCACAAAAGACCCCCGAACTGGGAAGGAATGGACCCGCGACCCATTTGTGAATAAGCCAGGTGAATCGACTTTGTGCTAGAAGATGATCAACTGCTTGAGATCGCAAATGAAGGTGGCCTTAAAAGTATGTTTGAGACAACTTCAAATCTCGATACGTTCTGGATTAAAGTAAAGGAGGAATATCCTGAGATTGGCACAAAAGCACTGAAAAGCCTGCTTTCATTTCCAACGTCCTGTCTTTGTGAAGCAGGGTTTTCTGCAGTGACAGCAACAAAGACGAGATTATGGAGTAGACTGGACATAAGCAACACACTTCGGGTGTCACGGTCTCCCATCACCCCCAGATGGGACCATCTAGTTACAGGAAAACAAGCTCAGGGCTCCCACTGATTCTGCATTATGGTGAGTTGTATCATTATTTCATATTACAATGTAAAAATATAAATAAAGTGCACAATAAATATAATGCGCTTTAATCATCATGAAACCATCCCCCCCCCCCCCCCCCCCCCCCAGTCCGTGAATAAATTGTCTTGTTACTAATTGTGATAATACATAGATTCTCGCTTTAACTTTTACTGATTATGTTTTAGTGTAATTCTATCAGGTCTCAGAATTCAGAACTTGCCAAAGAATACAGTTCTTATAATTAAGATCATTATGCATGAACTTAGGAAGGAACCACTCAGACACTTCTGTGTTAAGCAACTTTAATTTCTAAACAAAAATATAACACTCTAATATGCAAACTCTTATGCTTGGAATTGTCACAGTACTCCTGGAGATGTGCTCATTGATCCGTACATTTAACACTCAATGATTACGTTGTTAAACTGGGTAACAGAGCAATCGGTTAATTCCCCAGAGTAACGCGAGCATAGGAAAAAGTCCTTAAAAATAAATGTGATGATATTCATACGAACGTCAATAATGAAACATGTCCCGAATGAAAAAGTAGACCTCAATGAATTCATTGGTAGATTATGTAATTAACTAAACGTCTTGGAACAATGGTGTGCGGCAGTGTGCCTGCTTCAGCAAATGCTTATCAATTGGCTAAGGCTTCAATAAATTCGCAGGCAAGACTCTGTGATCAAAAGAAAGATTTCAACACAATAGTCTCCCTGTGAGTGTGTGGATTCGTAACGTATGTTTCTAAACGTTTAGTTTCGTCAATGAATTCATCGGTACAGTTAAAATTAACAAAACGAACGACTAAAATACTTTTCAAAGACCGTATCCACGTGACTCGATAAGCAGCAATGTTCTTCATTATCAGCTAAGAGTTGACGCACTCTTATGATTATTCTTCTCATTATTAGTCCCGGTATGTGCGGTATGTGTGTGTTTGGTGGTTTTGTCTCCTTGATGAATTTTTCGCGTCAAGTAGACGCTGGATGATACGTGGTATGCGAGTGTGGGGGAGGGTCATATACACAGCTTCCTCGCTCTCTCTCGCTCGGCGGCAGCTGAAGCTGCTGCCCATTGCTGGGTGAAGAGTCGGCACGACGCTCGCCGTCAGCAGTGCGCGATGATTCCGTCGTCAGATAGCGCCCGCAGCTCGTCTGCTTGTCGCCGTTCCTCACTCGTGTCTTGGTTCACAGCTGGTGCTGGTCGGTGTGTGTGGGTCGAACCCACGGCGCTCTCGCTGGCACTCTCCTCTTCCTCACAGGCAGCTGGTCAGGCTCTTTCCCCTGCTGGATGAGCTGAGTCGGCACGATGCTTGTCTTTCAAGGTGCTCGACAGCGCTCGCCGCTCGTCCGCTGGCAGCTGACACCCTTTCTCAGTGGCGCTGCTGCGCTCTCTCTCTGGCTCCGTGCTCTCTGGCGATGCCTGGTTGCGCGTGCAGCTGGTTCTCTGCGATGCTGGCTTGGTCGATGCTTGGGCTTCCACCCTTTCTCCCGGTTGATTGCTCGTCGTTGCTCGTCACTCTATCTCTCGGGCTGCAGCTGCTCGTGGGAGCTGGCACTCACTCTCAAAACTTGTAAATTGTATTCGCACACCTCTTAAAACAACTGTGAAAGCTTAGTACAATAAAACTTATCGCAATCCTTGACTTTGCAAGAGACTCAAAACATCAGGATGAATGTAGAATAAAACTCTCAGCGATACTCTGTCGGTCCATGCCGAACTCAGCACCGAGCATCACCTCGCCCCTCTTCTCTGCGAGACAACACCCATTGTTGATCTCGAGGCCATGCCCCGGAGTCTGCCTGTCGCAGTACTCTGTCGCTTGTAGTCTTCTGTAACTTGCAGTAGTCTCGATGTATGGGTTGTGTCTCTGTCTTTACGTGAATTTCTCTCCCCTCGGATCACCGTGTGGTTAGTCATAGGACACAACATATGCATTGTCTTTGAAACTGATTGGTCCACACCAGAGACAGCTTTCTTTAGAGCCTAGCATCAAACGGTGTTAATCCAGAGGACGCCAAAAGGCGTGCTCTTTAAGTATTTGTGATGAGATAATAAAAAACTCCCGAGTTGCTGAGGCGATTAAGCAAGCACCATATAAATGCTAATATTATTATAACATAGTGAATGCTTGGGAGCTTATTGGCTCTCGCTCCTAGTTAGAGATCTACCCAACCCACAGGTCCGCAAATACTGACCGCTCTTACTCTGCAGGTTGAACCTAGGAATGGAGTGTTCAACTTCACGTTATTTTCATTAAAGGCCTGTGACAAATGTGAATCTATTGGAGCTTCATTGTCTCAAGCTTACACATCTACAGGTTCTCCATTTGACTTTGCATTGTCTAAGAAGTCCACCCACACCTCCACTTCCACAAACTGCTGGGAGTTGCCTCGCTCTGCCTCACAGTCATAATTCTCCTCCTGCTTCACGTTGCCTCCATTGATGTTAAGGTCCGATTTTGGAGTTGAATGTTCATCTTCACATTTTACCTTCACTTCTTCGCTCTTCACTATCACCTCTTCACATTTCACCTTCGCCTCTGCAATTTTCACCTTGATACATTTCATAGTGTCCAAGCTGGAATTTACTTCTGGTTCTTTTTTCAGGAGGGATGGGCTCATTGCAGCACTTTGACTTTCACAAATCGATTTCAGACTACACTCCTTGGGGGTCTTCTGATGCCTGTGTGTTCTCTGGTGTCTATGAAGCTGTTGTGACTGTGCAAACGCCTTCCCGCACAGAGTGCACTTGAAGGGTTTCTCTCCTGTGTGTGTTCTCTGGTGTATTTTAAGATTTGATGAATATGAAAATGCCATTTCACACACACTGCACTTGAAGGGGTTCTCTCCTTTGTGCATTCTCTGGTGGGTTTTAAGATAAGATGAACTTGAAAATGCCTTCCCACACACAGTGCACTTGAAGGGTTTCTCTCCTGTGTGTGTTCTCTGGTGTTTTTTAAGATTAAATGAACTTGAAAATGCCTTCCCACACACAGTGCACTTGAAGGGTGTCTCTCCTCTGTGTGTTCTCCGGTGTTTTTTAAGATAAAATGAACTTGACAATGCCTTCCCACACACAGTGCACTTGAAGTGTTTATCTCCTGTGTGTGTTCTCTGGTGTATTTTAAGATAAGATGAACTTGAAAATGCCTTCCCACACACAGTGCACTTGAAGGCTTTCTCTCCTGTGTGTGTTCTCTGGTGTTTTTTAAGAGCAGATAAATCTGAAAATGCTTTCCCACACACACTACACCTGAAGGGTTTCTCTCCAGTGTGCGTTCTCTGGTGTATTTTAAGATAACATGAACTTGAAAATGCCTTCCCACACACAGTGCACTTGAAGGGTTTCTCTCCTGTGTGTGTTCTCTGGTGTTTTTTAAGATAAGATGAACTTGAAAATGCCTTCCCACACACACTACAATTGAAGGGTTTCTCTCCTGTGTGTGTTCTCTGGTGTATTTTAAGATAACATGAACTTGAAAATGCCTTCTCACACACAGTGCACTTGAAGGCATTTTCTCCTGTGTGTGTTCTCTGGTGTATTTTAAAAGAAGATGAACTTGAAAATGCCTTCCCACACACACTACATTTGAAGGGTTTCTCTCCTGTGTGTGTTCTCTGGTGTTTTTTAAGATAAGATGAACGTGAAAATGCCTTCTCACACACAGTGCACTGGAAGGGTTTTTCTCCTGTGTGTGTTCTCTGGTGTATTTTAAGAGCAGATGAATTTGAAAATGCCTTCCCACACAGAGTGCACTTGAAGGGTTTCTCTCCCATTGGAAATCTCTGGTCCTGTGTAAAATTTCCAGTAGAATCCATGCTGTTTGCATACTGGTCCCATTGTTGTCTTGTCTACCGAGCCGCGCTGAGTGCCTTTGCTCCATCAGACCAATTCTGCAGAGGAAGCATCAGAAGAAGCATCAGCTGCAGACAGAAAAAAATGTCCACACCATCTTCATCAGTATCGAGGCACAGAGGAATGAATATATACACAGTCACACATGACTTACATGTCTATATTTATTCATATATTCAGGATTATCCCCAATTCGTCACATCGGCTGTTAAGGCACACAATGAGAGGGCAAAAGGTTATAAATATACCTGGAAGCACTAGTATCTTCCAAATAAATGTTAACCCAAAACACCAAGCACACAATTTCGGCAGCCTGGCTGCAAAAGAAGTATTTATACAAGCAAAATTCATTCATAATCAACGTTTTTGGGTTTAGATCGCGTTATTTATAAATGTGTCTTAACCCTCCACCACCCGACACGGCCAATCAGTAAAAAGGTGTCACGTTGACAAAAGACAAATTAGTTCACTGCTTTAGCCCACCGGTGTGTTAAAGCGCGAAACCACAACATTTACAATTTGAGTAAATGTTGTGGTTTCGCGCTTCAACACACCGGTGGGCTAAAGCAGTGAACTAATTTGTCTTTTGTCAACGTGACTTTTTTACTGATTGGCCGTGTAGGGTGGTGGAGGGTTATGACACATTTATAAATAACGCGATCTAAACCCAAAAACGTTGATTATGAATAATATTGGTCTCGAAAGCCTACGTGTTAAGCAAAATTCAGCTAACATAGCAAAGGCTGTTGGGAATAATACTATTTGTATTATGCATAAATGCACAAATAAATGTTCAATCGTGACTTTAGAGGTGTGAAGTCAGGCTCAGATTTTCTTGAATGCTTGGATGAACAGATCTAACTTCAGCAGCATATGTGCTGTTAATTTCCTGTTTCCATTCCTCCAAAAAGTTCCAGAGAGAAACTAAAATAAACGATTGTTTTGATTTAACCTCCATGTTCAATAGTGAATATAATTTACTGCAAATACAAACTTGACACTGTCACACACTGGCATGGTAAAAAGTGGTGGTGTGTCCAGAACCATGCCTGGCCGCCTTCATCGGCTCAATATTGACGCTTCCTCCCTTCACCATGTAATTAATTTAAGATCAATCAACATAGCAGAGGCCCACAAGCAGTTCAGCTTTCACTTATCAATCATGTTTGCTGGCGGTGATAATCAAACTAATTGTTGAGTTCCTAATGCAGTGAAATAACTGCACCACAGCTCCCCACAAAGATAAACTCTTAAATACACATACATTTCACATGCATCATTAACATATGTAGTGACATAAGAAGGGAGGGGCTGCTGGGGGCTCTGGGATCCCAGGCGAGTCCAGACGCTTAAGCCTCTGGGCGCCAGGCGCTGGGTTCCCAGGGGGTCCAGACGCTTAAGCCTCTGGGCGCCAGGCGTTGAGTTCCCAGGCGCTTAATCCCCTGGGCGCCGCCAACGGGGGGGGGGCCTGTGTGTGCTCTGTGGGATGTCTGGTGGCGCACACGGCCCCACCCCTCGTTGGATCAGGCATAAAAGGAGAGCTCCCTGGACGATCGGGGCCCAGTTGTAACTCAAGACCCAAGACCCACGACCAGCCATCTGAAGACCCTGGGATGCTGTGAGAGCCAGCGCTGGGACTCTGGAACTCCCGACTCTACGACCTTGTGAGGGCGAGTTCCGGAGCGTAGCCAGATGAGAGCAGCTAGGCTGTGTACCTAGGCTGTAACAGAGTATCAGGACTGTTGGAGAGTTGGAGTACTGTTGGAGTGTTGTATTGTAATAAAGAAGTACATCTACAAGTGTCTCCGGAACCCGTTACACATATATAAACAAAAATCCACCATTCATGACGAATTGCAAGTCACCTTATCCCAGTGCTAATGCCATGATAGGTGCAATTTAAGGCCATGTAAGTATGGATTCCTTGTCAGCAGGTAATGGGAATGATCCAGGTGTCAAGGGATGACTGACAGATGAACCAGCTGCGCTCCCCACTGTCTTGCTGGGTTTTAGGAACCCAGCGTACCACGTATTCATGATGGCGTCGCTCTTCCGACCTCATCGTTGTTGCAGAGAAAATATATATTAACTGCCCTGCAGCATACCTCACGGACCTCCTTCACAGAGGCCAATCTTGACACTGCCGGCACCAGTCATTGGCAGGTCCGATCACCTCTACATCCTCCAATCTCTCCTCTGGCCAATGCCATGCCTGTTCAGCCCCTAATATATGGACAAACAAAAGATGCTTGAGCATGCAGTGTCTGGGAATGCGGGATTCATGACCAAACAAATGCAGCCTCGCCTGCGAAAGAGACTCAAGATTATATTCTATATTGACATCTTCAGGATCTGTAAGCTTCTAATACAAAATAAGTCTGGTTGGATAGAGGATGAATCATAGGCAGGACAGCCTTCATGGTATAAGCCAGCAGAGATGGTAATTTAAATAAGTTCATATTCTGAATCCACATAGTAATATCTGTGGCCAAGAAGAATCACAGCTTTATTCGTTAGTTTCTAAAATGCTTGTCCTGGTGAGGGTCGCGGTGGCAGCATGCTGAGAAGGGCAGTCCAGGCCTCCTTTTCCCTGGCGACAGACTCTAGCTCATCCTGGGGAATTCCCAAGCATTCCCAGGCCAGCCGAGTGACATAGTCCAGCCAGCATGTCCTGGGCCAGCCCTGGGGTCTTCGACCCAGTGGGACGTGTCTGGTAGAGATCCAGGGGAAGTCTATTGGGGGGCATCCTTACATATATTCTATATTTATATCACCGCTAGAGGCAGGCAATCAGGTATGAAAAACAGCAAGAAAATTTTCAAGAATTTTCCAAAAATTTCTTGCTGTTTTTCACACCTAAAGTCATGTAGAAGAAAAACAATAAAAAACTAAAAAAATTCTCACGACGTTTCGACTGCAACACGAGCAATCAGGTGTGAATTAACGCAGCAAGAAATTTTTCAAAAAATTTCCTAAAAATTCTTGCTGTTTTTCACACCTCGCCACGTAGAAGAAAAACAATGAAATAAAAAAAATTCTCACGACGTTTCGACTGCAACACGAGCAATCATCGTCAGGTGTTAAAAACACGGCAAGAAAATTATCGAAAATTTTCAAATAAATTCTTGCTGTTTTTCACACCTAAAGTCGTGTAGAAGAAAAACAATAAAATAAAAATATTAAAATTCTCACATTTCGACTGCAACTCGAGCAATCATCGTCAGGTGTGAAATCCACAGCAAGAAATTGTATTACTTTATTATTTCCCTTCTACGTGACTTTACCGAAAGAACCACTAATATCTTAACACCTGTTTTAGTTGCCAGAAAAGGGGAAAAACCTCTTCTTATATGTTGCTACTGGCAAAGGAGGTCCCATGAAGTAGTGAGCCAGATGAAGACGAATTAAACTTAAGCAGAGGATTAAAGCAAATGCAATCAGTCGAGGGCAGGAGGCAAGGCCCCGCGTGGCTAGGCCCCGCGTTGTAATGTTCAAACCTGGACATCGATTCCAGACTCGCTGCTACTCAATTGATATCCCTACGAGAGAGAGACGGAGAGAGGCTCTACCTGGGTAACAACAATAACCACCACGACAACAACCACCACGATGTTAACTTCTCACCTCGGATCTGTAAGAGCGCGCGCGGTGTAGCAGCTTCCCGCTATAAAGTGACGTCACGCGGCAGCAAGCGGTGACATGATGTCACTGGCGGGCTTTGAACACAATCCCCTCCCCCAACGAGCGGCGGTGTAACTGAATAAATTATGTTAATGAGACGGTCTCATGTGTAGTGATGTGGCGTCGATGTTGAACTTGTCGCAATGAAATAGCGATATTTATGAATAAATTATGTTAATTAACCGCCAGTTGATAGTTTCAGTTTGATTTATTAGGAACTAGCGGTAAGCATCCGGCGTTGCACGGGGGAAATATTTATTGAAAAACTTCTCAAAAAACTTAAAAACATAACATCGTATTCATAAAATTAATACAAATTTTTATAAATTTTTTATTTAAATAAAACCCAACGCGTGGTGGAAAATAAACTTGCGGCTCGCCCGTCAAGATTTGATTCTTTAGATAGCGCAAAGAAATCGAAGGTTGTAGATTTATTTAGAATCGGCCAATTCCCGTTTAATCGATACCACAAACGCTCAGCAGATATCGATACTCGCCACAGACTTCATGGTCATTCCCCCCCCCCCCAAAATACAAATGTTTATTTTTTAAGAATTTTTGCATGGTGTACATTTTGCAAAGTACTACATGGAAAATTTCAAGTTTGTTGCATGTCGGGAAGTACGCTAAACATTTTGAACAGACAAGACATTCACAAATTTTCCTTTTATATATAGAAGACTAGCTTGACTACCCGGCTTCGCCCGGGAATTGGATTCACCACGCCCGGCCGCCTTTGTCTCCCCAGTGGCGATGTTCACACACCACATCAGTTACTCGTTTGAGGCTGAGTCGACCTAGGGGAAGCCCAGGACCAGTAAAAATAATCGTGGTGGCCGTGAGCGGGAATCGAACTCGGGTCGCCGGGTTCGTAGCGCAGCGCGCTCACCACACATCATCTTTAAAACACAGAAGTGAGATGGCTTTCTAAAGGTAGATCACTGGCCAGAGTTTTTGAGTTGCGAGAGCCACTTCAGAGATATCTTTTAGAAAAACAGTCACCACTGGGGCAGCACATTTCAATGACACAGAATGGGTCGCAAAACCTGCTCACTTGTGTGACATATTCAGCCTGCTCAACGTACTCAATGTGTCATTTCAGGGGAGATCGACAACTCTGTTCAAATCGGCAAATAAATTGGCTGCATTCAAAGCCACACTGGAATTATGGGGGCGACGAGTGAATATTGGAACTTTGACATGTTTCAAACACTAGCAGAGATTTTGAAAGAGACTGAGCCAGGGCCTTTCTCTCAGCTGGTGCATTAAAACCTATCTCAGCTTTTAAAAGAGTTTGAGCGTTACTTCCCAACCACAAAAGACCCCCGAACTGGGAAGGAATGGACCCGCGACCCATTTGTGAATAAGCCAGGTGAATCGACTGTCTGTGCTAGAAGAGGATCAACTGCTTGAGATCGCAAATGAAGGTGGCCTTAAAAGTATGTTTGAGACAATTTCAAATCTCGATACGTTCTGGATTGAAGTACGGCGAGAGTGGCGCGGTCGCCACGCGGTGGGAGACGTCGGCACCGTCAGCCATCGGTGTCAGGACGCAGAGGGCTAGCGAGCGGTGGAAGGCTAGCTGCAGAGCGGAGTAGCAGTGAAGCTGCAGACGGAGCAGCGGTGTGGCTTCAGGGCGGAGCAGCAGTGAGGCTGCAGAACGAGCAGCAGAGTGGCTGTGGAGTGATCGTCGGGAGAGACGCGAGCCTGAGCGAGGACGCAGTGTGAACGAGATTCTACGAACCCAAAAAAAGGACAACGGAGATTGACATTGAGAAAGAGTCCTTTATTACATTAGTGTCAGAAGTGAAACGGCATGTCAAAACAGCTCAGAAGGAAGAACGTCCCTGCACCATCTTCTGCAGCATCTTCTGACGACGACCTCCCTCCAGCGGTGGCGCTACCGACGATGGAGGGGGAAAGCGACACCTGGACGAGCGGCTGTCCGGGCGTGCAGGACGTGGCCGCTTCGGTGGGTCCATCCGCGCGAGTGGATGCTGATGAAGGATGGCGACAGGTGGCAGCCCAACTGGAGGCACTGAAGACGGTGTTGGCGCAGTTGTGCGACCTCGTGACGCCGGCGACGACTTCGGGGAGGCCCGGCGGGGAACAGCGGGCCGGGCCCTTGCCGTCGCCATCAGCCCTCTCGACCACGCGGCACGAAGACGCCATCTTGGGCATGGCCGAGGAGCAACGGCGGGAAGCCGCCATCTTGCGCCCTCCGACGCGGGAAGCCGCCATCTTGCACACGTTGCGGAGTGACGCCATCTTGTCGCTGCCGCGTGAGTCACCATCGGCAGAGGACGGTGGAGCAAGGACCCGCAGCCGTCATTTAACAACGGTAAAAGAGTTCTCCATCGGCGGCGATTGGAGCGCATTCGCCTGCCGTTTTCAAGCGGCTGTACGATCCGCCAAATGGACGGACGCGGAGGCCCTGGAAGTCCTACCAACACTTCTCGACGATGAGTCCGTCAGGTTCTTCCGCTCCATCAAGGCCGACAAGAAGAGGACGCTGCAGGGTGTCTTCGAGGAAATGGCGGATGCGTACGAGCCTCCGGACGATGCCCATCGTAGATTCGTACAGCGGCAACGGGCGCCCGAAGAATCGCCGGTGGCTTTCAGAGGCGCCGTTCTGGAACTGGCGATGGCAGCATACCCTGAGACGGAGTCGGATTTGTTGGAACCCCTTGTGTTGGGCAAGATGCTGGAATTGTCTAGAGACTTGGGGATCCCCATGCCGGTGTGCAGCCATGATAAGTTGACGTCCCATGCTGCGGATAAGTGCTTGGATGCTCAATTTAATCTCCGACGCTGGAAACAGGTGTCAGCTTGAACGGGGGGCCCCATCGTCGAAGGCGGTGCTACGGGGTGGGATACTTAGAAGGCGGTCTACGTTCCTGACGACAAGGGTCCGCAGGAGTTGACGGCCGCCTCCGCCCCGTGGCCTGCTCGGGGGGGTACGGGGCCGAGGTCCGGGCCGCCGGCGCGGGAGCGTCGGGACAGAGGGGGTGCCGCGCGTCGAAACGACGTGGAGTGTTTCCGCTGCGGCCGTAAGGGCCACTTCGCCAAGGGTTGTTGGGCTCGCATCCCGGGGCCGCCCCAGCAGGAGGCCTCGACCATGGACGTCATGCGAAAGGACCATCCAGGACACGCAAGTCGGTGCGCATCAGACACCCGGCAAGGCCTGTCACCTCATGCATCACCATCGCCGTGCGATCCGTGTGTCATTAACAACGAGGGGCCACCGATTGACCCGTGTCGCTCGCTGACGCAATGGCGGCGATTGGCACGGAGGGTGGTTGCGGCCGCTACTGGGTCGTCCACTGTACCGGGTTCTATTCAGCGGGTCGAGGTGCGTATTTTGGTGGACTCCGGTGCGTCCGCGACCATTATTTCGGACGTCATTTTCCATCTCTTGGGCATTCCGCCGGGGAGAGTGCGACCAGTTTATGATTCGTGCATAGTGGCGAACGGGGGAAGTATGGGCATTGTAGGCCAGGTGAACGCCAACATATCGATTGGGGGGGTGTCGGCTTCAGGGACCGTTTTGATCTCTAGGTCCCTCGCGGTACCCTGTTTGTTGGGGACCGATTTCCTGGCAAAAATGCCCATTCAAATAACAGTTGATCAAAATTGCATTGAATTACCGGGGGGCGGAAATTTTCGTTCTTGCCGTCGCCATGGGGCCTGTCTGCCCCTGTATGCCAGGTACAGGCGATGTCCGAGGTATCTGTTGACATTCCACCTGGTTCGCAGATGCTTATCCCGTTGAGATATCGGAAGCCAGTACCTGGCGTTGAGGGAGCGGCGGGGGTTTTGTTATCGCCGTCCACGGCTATAACGGGCGGCTCGGCGCTGGTTGGGGCACAAACGATTGTCCGGCCGGGCCAGCCCCCGTTTTTACAAGTGCTGAATGGGAGTGCGGAGAATGTTAGCGTCCCGGCCAGAACGGTTTTGGCTCGCGCCACGACCGCGTTCACGGCCCATGACGACCGGGGCCGCCGGGACATGGTAGGGGGGGTTGCGGGGCCTACGGGGCAGGATGATCGTTGGGTTGCCGAGTTGTGTGGGGAGAATTCATCCCTCACCGGAGAACGGTCCGCGCTTCGCGCGCTGTTGCTAAGCTATTCCGACGTGTTCAGCTCGGATGATTTTGACTTGGGACGCACCTCCTTGCTTTCCCACATTGATACGGGGGACGCCGCTCCGATTCGGTTGAACTCGCATCGGTTGAGCCCGACGGAGCGGGATCAGGTTCGCGGTGCAGTGGAGGACATGCTGGCCGCTGACATAATATCCCCGTCTAACAGTCCATGGGGCGCGCCGGTAGTCCTTGTGAAGAAGGATGGGAAACTGCGATTTTACGTCGATTTTCGAAAATTAAACAAGGTGTCCGTCGCAGACGCGTACCCCCTGCCGCGTATGGATGATTCCCTTGATGCCTTGTCCGGGGCGAAGTTTTTTTCAACGCTGGATCTCTCCTCGGGATTCTGGCAGCTTCCCCTCGATGAGTGCTCGAGGGAAAAGACGGCTTTCCGTACGCCGCAGGGATTGTTTCAGTTTAATTGCCTTCCGATGGGCTTGAATGCGGCCCCCGCCACTTTTCAGCAGTTGATGGAGCTGGTGTTAACGGGTCTGCAGTGGGAGACATGTTTGATTTATTTAGACGATGTCATCATCTTTAGCCGCACATTTACGAACATTTACAGAGATTGGAGATGGTTTTTGCTAGGATGCGCTCCGCCAATCTAAAATTCAAACCAAAGAAGTGTCACCTACTGCAACGCTCCGTGCGTTATTTGGGACACATAGTCAGTGCGGACGGGGTGGCCATGGACCCAGAGAAGACGGCGTGCGTCCGCAACTGGCCAACCCCGGCCTCAGTTGGGGACGTACATCGCTTCCTTGAGTTCGCCTCATATTATCGCAGGTTCGTTCCGAACTTTGCTATCATCGCTAGGCTCTTGCACCTCCTTACGGGCAAGGGTCGGAGGTTCAGTTGGGGACCGCCGGAGGAAGCGGCGTTTGAGGGCCTACGCGATCGGTTGGCGACGGCGCCGACATTGGACTATCCGGATTTTGATCGACCTTTTATTCTGGATACGGACGCTAGTGACACCGGGATCGGGGCTGTTCTGTCACAGTCCAAGGGCGGCGTGGAACGCGTGGTAGGTAGCCTACGGTAGCCATGTGCTGTCCCCGGCAGAAACCCGCTACTGCTTTACTCGCCGCGAACTATTGGCTATTGTCTATTTTCTCCGCCAATATCGGCCGTATATATACGGCCGTTCGTTTATTGTGCGCACGGACCATGCGGCTGTGCAATATGCCCTGAGAGTTGACCAACCATCTGGCCAACTTGCACGATGGTTGGAGACCCTGCAGGAATTTTTCTTCGACATTCAATATCATAAGGGGTCGCTTCACGCGAACGCGCTCTCCAGATTACCACAGGGGTCCCCGTGCGCTTGCGCGTCGGGTACGAATAGGTGTACGCCGGTTCAGCTACCCCCTCGGCCTGTCGTGTCAGCTGTCGAGGTGCCTGGGCCTCCGGTGTGCCCAGGACCGGCCGATGGGGTTCTGAACCTGCCGTGCTCGGTATGGATTCGTGAACAATTGCTTGACGACACGTTGGGGGCTTTACGGAGTCGGGCTGCGAAGGGAGCGGGGGAACTGCTGTCCGGTGGGACGCCGGGGGCCGCTCTCCGGGATGGTTTGCTCATGTGGAGGGAGGGGTTGCATGACCGCTGGCGTCTGGTGGTACCGTCGTCGTTACGGTACGAATTGATTCGGACTCTGCACTGCGACACTTTGTTACATCTCGGGGTGCAGAAAACTTTGCTAACATTGCAGCGAGACTACTTCTGGCACGGCATGACAACGGATGTCGTCGGACACATTCGGGCGTGTCCCGAGTGTGCACGGCGGAAGCCGCCTAAAAACCCATATGTGCCGCCGGTGCAGTCTATACAGGTGTCTCGAATCAACGAGTTGGTGGCGCTGAATATTTTGGGACCTTTCCCACCATCCGCTATGGGTAATAAATTTGTGCTGGTCGGGGTAGAATAATTCTCGTTGGCCGATGGCTTGGCTTGGCCCTTACCCGACCAGTCGGCGGCGACCACTGGCAGCACATTTCCGTGACACAGAATGGGTCGAAAAACTTGCTCACTTGTGTGACATATTAAGCCTGCTCAGCGTACTCAATGTGTCATTTCAGGGGAGATCGACAACTCTTTTCAATTCGACAGATAAAGTGGCTGCATTCAAAGCCAAACTGGAATTATGGGGGCGACGAGTGAACATTGGAACTTTTGACATGTTTCAAACACTAGCAGAAATTTTGAAAGAGACTGAGCCAGGGCCTTTCTCCCAGCTGGTGCATTAAAACCTATCTCAGCTTTTAAAAGAGTTTGAGCGTTACTTCCCAACCACAAAAGACCCCCGAACTGGGAATAGACCCATTTGTGAATAAGCCAGGTAAATCGACTTTGTCTGTGCTAGAAGAGGATCAACTGCTTGAGATCGCAAATGGTGGCCTTAAAAGTATGTTTGAGACAACTTCAAATCTCGATACGTTCTGGATTAAAGTCAATGCGGAATATCTTGAGATTGCCACAAAAGCACAGAAAAGCCTGCTTCCATTTCCAATGTCCTATCTTTGTGAAGCAGTGTTTTCTGCAGTGACAGCAACAAAAACGAGATTATGGAGTAGACTGGACATAAGCAACACACTTCGGGTGTCACGGTCTTCCATCACCCCCAGATGGGACCATCTAGTTACAGGAAAATAAGCTCAGGGCTCCCACTGATTCTGCATTATGGTGAGATGTATCATTATTTCATATTACAATGTAATAATATAAATAAAGTGCACAATAAATATAATGCGCTTGAATTATCATGAAACAATCCCCCCCCCCACCCCACCGGTCCGTGAAAAAAATGTCTTCTTACTAATTGTGATAATACATAGATTCTTGCTTTAACTTTTACTGATTGTTTTAGTGTAATTCTATCAGGTCTCAGAATTCAGATCTTGCCGAAGGATACAGCTGTTATAATTAAGATCATTATGCATGAACTTTGAAAGGAACCACTCAGACACTTCTGTGTTAAGCAACTTTAATTTCTAAACAAAAATATAACACTCTAATATGCAAACTCTTATGCTTGGAATTGTCACAGTACTCCTGGAGATGTGCTCATTGATCCGTACATTTAACCCTCACTGATTACGTTAAACTGGATAACAGAGCAATCGGTTAATTCCTCAGAGTAACGCGAGCATAGGAAAAAGTCCTTAAAAATAAATGTGACCATATTCATACGAACGGCAATAATGAAACATGTCCCAAATGCAAAAGTAGACCTCAATGAATTCATTGGTAGATTATGTAATTAACTAAACGTCTTGGAACAATGGTGTGTGGCAGTGTGCCTGTGGGGGCCGTTGGCCCCCAGGGTCTCCCCATCACGCATCCCCTATTCCGGTTGCGTTGCCGCACCGCCCTATTACCCGCTAGGGTTTCGCCGGCCTTCGGACGCGACACCCCTACCCATACGGCCTCACGCAGCGCTCCCACGCTGCAAGCATACGTGCGCACAGCATCATCAATCAAATGCCATACTCCCCCTCTTTACACCGCTACGTACAGCTCTCGCACGCTGCGAGCGTGTGCCCGTCTACAGCCCTGCGCGGCACTCGCCTCCACGTCGAATAACCACGTTACCAATGCGCACCCGTATCCGACACGTAGCGAACGTACGCGGACTCCCGCACAGAGCTCCGCGCGGCACTCACTCACCACTGAACACTCACGTTGTGATCGCGCACCTGTATCATACACGTAGTGAACACACGCGCACCCACACGCGCAGCTCCGCGCAGCGCTCACTCACGTGGCGAACCACTGTGTACACAGCACCACACCCGTTCACACCTCTCAACTAGATCACACGAGGCCACGATTAGCTATTAATGATTTATTTTCGACCACCTGGGAATTGATATTAAATCAGTATGAATCGACGAGGCTGGCCTATTCTACTACCCCTGGACCTATTCCCTATTTATCGGCTATGATCCTACTTCACCTTCTTACTCACTGTTAGGTGCCCACAGCGGTCCTTTGATCCCGTACTCGCGGCGTACCTCGATGCGTCTCACGGACGTTCGGGTCGCTGGCTGGAGAGCGTCTTGTCGCCTGGTGCTGAAGAGAGCGATCTCCCCTTTGCGCCCCATTTTTATCCTCCCTACATCAAAGGGATGCGGCTCCGGGCGTGGTGGCGGCCCCTCCCAGTTTTTCTTTAACAATGGGCGCGTGCCCGTCAGCACGCGTACGGCGGTTCCGGGCGCCCTTGCTATGCTAATCAGATGCGTTGCGTGTTGCGGCGTTTATTCTAATTAATCCCTTTCTCATGCATGGCGCCTTGGTCTTGCGCATTATGCAGCAGCGTCCATCACCACGGCCTGCTGTGGAAGTTAAGCGCGGAGCCTCCGCATGTCTCCACCCCCTGCCCCATCACTTGCGCACTATGCGCCCGAGTCGCCTCTCTGATTATTTGCAATTCCAGCCCTATCCTTTAACTTCCCTAACAATGGCACCTACGCACTCGAGCCCTCTTTGGCACGCTAAACTATGCCGCCCCGTCCCTCCTCTGCCTATCTCGTCGACCCGTGGGGGTGTGTGTGGGGGGATGCGTTTCAACCGCGGTGGCCGAATGCCCTTCGCCGCGACCATAACATCTTAAGGCCGGTCGCAGCGCCGCGGTGCAAAGTAGCGTCGGGGGAGGTCGTCCAATTCCCTGGTCACCGGAAACCGTGAAAGTTAATCACGATAAGGGTTTCTCGGATAAAAATCGGTCAGTCAGGTGACCTCCCCTCGGAGCTCTATGGGGGGGGGGGGGGGGAATGCGTGCGGGTGTGTTCATGTGAGTTGAGGGGGACGCAGGGTCGGCTCCGTCGCTTGGTGGTGGCGAGGTTGTAGATGGGGCGCCTGCTGAACGGCTTCGTGGCGGCGGCATCACATGCCTGCTTCAGCAAATGCTTATCAATTGGCTAAGGCGTCAATAAATTCGCGGGCAAGATTCTGTGATCAAAAGAAAGATTTCAACACAATAGTCTCCCTGTGAGTGTGTGGATTCGTAACGTAGGTTTCTAAACGTTAAGTTTCGTCAATGAATTCATCGGTACAGTTAAAATTAACAAAAAGAACGAATAAAATACTTCTCAAAGACCGTATCCACGTGACTCAATGGGCAGCAATGTTCTTCATTATCAGCTAATAGTTGACGCACTCTTATGATTATTCTTCTCATTATTAGTCCCGGTATGTGCGGTGTGTTTGGTGGTTTTGTCTCCTTGATCAATTCTTCGCGTCAAGCAGACGCTGGGTGATACGTGGCGAGTATGTGAGTGTGGGGGAGGGTCACACACACAGCTTCCTCACTCTCTCTCGCTCGGCTGCAGCTGGAGCTGCTGCCCACTGCTGGATGAAGAGTCGGCACGACGCTCGCCGTCGGCGGTGCGCGATGATTCCGTCGTCAGATAGCGCCCGCAGCTCATCTGCTGGTCGCCGTTCCTCACTCTTGTCTTGGTTCACAGCTGGTGCTGGTCGGTGTGTGTGGGTCGAACCCACGGCGCTCTCCTCTTTCTCACGGGTGGCTATTCATGGTTTTGTCCCCTGCTGGATGAGCCGAGTCGGCACGATGCTTGTCTTTGAAGGTGCTCGACAGCGCTCGCCGCTCGTCCGCTGGCAGCTGACACCCTTGCTCGGTGGCGCTGCTGCGCTCTCTCTCTGGCTCCGTGCTCTCTGGCGATGCCTGGTTGCGCGTGCAGCTGGTTCTCTAAGATGCTGGCTTGGTCGATGCTTGGGCTTCCACCCTTTCTCCCGGTTGATTGATCGTCGTTGCTCGTCACTCTATCTCTCGGGCTGCAGCTGCTCGTAGGAGCTGGCACTCAGCGTTGAATAACTTTGAGCGATAATTCTTCTGTCAGCGCCGAGCTCGTACTCGGTGACCCATTGGTACTCGGCAAGCCTCTTCATCCTTGGTTGATTGCAGAGTCCCACCCTAGAGCTTGCTGCTTGCAGTAATTCAACTCTTTGTGTTGATTTCATAGATTCGTGGCTTCTGCTGGTGCAGCTCGTTGACGATGTGCCAGTCACGGGGGCAGGTTCCCTGAAGCCTGCCGATTGCAGCTGCTCGTGGGAGCTGAAACTCACGCTCAAAACTTGTAAATTGTATTTGCACACCTCTTGAACAACTGTGAAAGCTTAATACAACTTATCGCAATCCTTGACTTTGCAAGCGACTCAAAACATCAGGATAAATGTGGAATAAAACTCTCAGCGATACTCTGTCGGGCCATGTCGAACTCAGCACCGAGCATCACTTCGCCTCTCTTATCTGCGAGACACACCACCCATTGTTGATCTCGAGGCCATGCCCCGGAGTCTGCTCGTCGCAGTACTCTCTGTCGCTTATAGTCGTCTGTAACTCGCAGTAGTCTCGATGTATGGGTCGTGCCTCTGTTTTTACGTGAAATTCTCTCCCCTCGGATCGCCGTGTGGTTAGTCATAGGACACAACATATGCATTGTCTTTGAAACTGATTGGTCCACACCAGAGACAGCTTTCTTTCGAGCCTAGTATCAAACGGTGTTAATCCAGAGGACGCCAAAAGGCGTGCTCTTTGAGTGTTTGTGATGAGATGATACAAAACTCCGAGTTGCTGAGGCGATTAACCAAGCACCATATAAATGTTAATATTATTATAACATAGTGAATGTTTGGGAGCTTATTGGCTCTCGCTCCTAGTTAGAGATCTACCCAACCCACAGGTCCGCAAATACTGACCGCTCTTACTCTGCAGGTTGAACCTAGGAATGGAGTGTTCAACTTCACGTTATTTTCATTAAAGGCCTGTGACAAATGTGAATCTATTGGAGCTTCATTGTCTCAAGCTTACACATCTACAGGTTCTCCATTTGACTTTGTATTGTCTAAGAAGTCCACCCACACCTCCACTTCCACAAACTGCTGGGAGTTGCCTCGCTCTGCCTCACAATCAGAATTCTCCTCCTGCTTCATGTTGCCTCCATTGATGTGAAGGTCCGATTTTGGAGTTGAATGTTCATCTTCACATTTTACCTTCACTTCTTCGCTCTTCACTGTCACTTCTTCGCTGGTCACTGTCGCCTCTTCAAATTTCACCTTGATACATTTCATAGTGTCCAAGCTGGAATTTACTTCTGGTTCTTTTTTCAGGAGGGATGGGTTCATTGCAGCACTTTGACTTTCACAAGTCGATTTCAGACTACACTCCTTGGGGGTCTTCTGATGCCTGTGTGTTCTCTGGTGTCTATGAAGCTGTGGTGACTGTTCAAACGCCTTCCCGCACAGAGTGCACTTGAAGGGTTTCTCTTCTGTGTGTGTTCTCTGGTGTATTTTAAGATAATATGAACTTGAAAATGCCTTCCCACACACAGTGCACTTGAACTCGTTCTCTCCTGTGTGTGTTCTCTGGTGTATTTTAAGATAATATGAACTTGAAAATGCCTTCCCACACACACTGCACTTAAAGGGTTTCTCTCCTGTGTGCGTTCTCTGGTGCTTTTTAAGATTTGATGACTGTGAAAATGCCATCTCACACACACTGCACTTGAAGGGATTCTCTCCTTTGTGTATTCTCTGGTGGATTTGAAGATAAGACGAACTTGAAAATGCCTTCTCACACACACTGCACGTGAAGGGTTTCTCTCCTGTGTGCATTCTCTGGTGTATTTTAAGATAATATAAACTTGAAAATGCCTTCCCACACACACTGCACTTAAAGGCTTTCTCTCCTGTGTGCGTTCTCTGGTGCGTTTTAAGATTGGATGACTGTGAAAATGCCATCTCACACACAGTGCACTTGAAGGGTTTATCTCCTGTGTGTATTCTCTGGTGGATTTTAAGACTAGATGACTGTAAAAATGCCATCTCACACACACTGCACTTGAAGGCTTTATCTCCTGTGTGCATTCTCTGGTGTATTTTAAGATAAGATGAACTTGAAAATGCCTTCCCACACACAGTGCACTTACAGGGTTTCTCTCCTGTGTGTGTGCTCTGGTGCGTTTTAAGATTGGATGACTGTGAAAATGCCATCTCACACACAGTGCACTTGAAGGGTTTATCTCCTGTGTGTATTCTCTGGTGGATTTTAAGACTAGATGACTGTAAAAATGCCATCTCACACACAGTGCACTTGAAGGCTTTCTCTCCTGTGTGTGTTCTCTGATGTTTTTTAAGAGCAGATGAATCTGAAAATGCCTTCCCACAGACACTACACCTGAAAGCTTTCTCTTCTGTGTGTGTTCTCTGGTGTATTTTAAGATAAAATGAACTTGAAAATGCCTTCCCACACACAGTGCACCTCAAGGGTTTCTCTCCTGTGTGTGTTCTCTGGTGTTTTTTAAGATAAAATGAACTTGAAAATGCCTTCCCACACACAGTGCACCTCAAGGGTTTCTCTCCTGTGTGTGTTCTCTGGTGGATTTTAAGATTAGATGACTGTGAAAATGCCATCTCACACACACTGCACTTGAAGGGTTTATCTCCTGTGTGTATTCTCTGGTGTATTTTAAGATAAGACGAACTTGAAAATGCATTCCCACACACACTGCACTTAAAGGGTTTCTTCTTTCCTGTGTGCGTTCTCTGGTGTCTATGAAGCTGTGTTGAACGTGCAAACGCCTTCAAGCACATAGTGCACTTGAAGGGTTTTTCTCCTGTGTGCGTTCTCTGGTGCTTTGTAAGATTTGATGAATGTGAAAATGCCATCTCACACACACTGCACTTGAAGGGGTTCTCTCCTGTGTGAGTTCTCTGGTGGATTTTAAGATTAGATGACCGTGAAAATGCCATCTCACACACACTGCACTTGAAGGGTTTATCTCCAGTGTGTATTCGCTGGTGGATTTTAAGATTAGATGACCGTGAAAATGCCATCTCACACACACTGCACTTGAAGGCTTTATCTCCTGTGTGTGTTCTCTGGTGTATTTTAAGATAAGATGAATTTGAAAATGCCTTCCCACACACAGTGCACTTACAGGGTTTCTCTCCTGTGTGTGTTCTCTGGTGGATCTGTAAACATGATGACCATGCAAATGCCTTCTCACACACAGTGCACTTGAAGGGTTTCTCTCCTGTGTGTGTTCTCTGGTGTTTTTTAAGATCAAATGAATCTGAAAATGCCTTCCCACACACAGTGCACTTGAAGGCTTTCTCTCCCGTTGGAGATCTCTGGTCCTGTGTAAAATTTCCAGTACAATCCATGCTGTTTGCATACTGGTCCCATTGTTGTCTTTGTCTACCGAGCCGCGCTGAGTGCCTTTGCTCCATCAGACCAATTCTGCAGAGGAAGCATCAGAAGAAGCATCAGCTGCAGACAAAAAAATGTCCACACCATCTTCATCAGTATCGAGGCACAGATGAATGAATATATACACAGTCATACATGACTTACACGTCTATATTTATTAATATATTCAAGATTATCCCCAATTCATCACACGGGCTGTTAAGACACACAATGAGAGGGCAAAAGGTTACAAATATACCTGTACGCCCGAGTATCTTCAAAATAAATGTTAACGCAAAACACCAAGCACACAATTTCGGCATTCTGGCTGCAAAAGTATTTATAAAAGCAAATTTCAACTAACATAGCAAAGGCTGTTGGGAATAATATTTGTAATGCATAAATAAATGTTCAATCGCAACTTTAGAGGTGTGAAGCCAGGCTCAGATTTGCTTGAATGCTTGGATGAACAGATCGAACTTCAGCAGCATATGTGCTGTTAATTTCCTGTTTCCATTCTTCCAAAAAGTTCCAGAGGGAAACTAAAATAAGCGATTGTTTTGATTTAACCTCCATGTTCAATAGTTAATATAATTTACTGCAAATACAAACTTAACACTGTCACACACTGGCATGGTAAAAAGTAGTGGTGTATCCAGAACCATGCCTGGCCGCCTTCATCTGCTCAGTATTGACGCTTCCTCCCTTCACCATGTAATTAATTTAAGATCAATCAACATAGCAGAGGCCCACAAGCTTTCACTTATCAATCATGTTTGCTGGCAGTGATAATCAAACTAATTGTTGAGTTCATAATGCAGTGAAATAACTGCACCACATCTCCCCACAAAGATAAACTCTCTAATACACATACATTTCACATGCATCATTAACATATCTCAACAAAAATCCACCATTCATGACGAATTGCAAGTAACCTTATCCCAGTGCTAATGCCATGATAGGTGCAATTTAAGGCCATGTAAGTGTGGATTCCTTGACAGTAGGTAATGGGAATGATCCAGGTGTCAAGGGATGACTGACAGATGAACCAGCTGTGCTCCCCACTGTCTTGCTGGGTTTTAGGAACCCAGCGTTCCACCTATTCATGTGGGCGTCGCACATCAGACCTCTTCATTGCTGCAGAGAAAATATCTATTAACTGCCCTGCAGCATACCTGCAGGTCAGGTAATATGGTGTTGGACCAGATGACGCCAAAAGGCGTACAACTCAAAAAAGGTGTCAGTTTTGTTGCCAGATAAAAGGGTAAAAAAACAATTATCATATTTTGCTACTGGCAAAGGAGGTTCCAATGGTGTAAATGCGTACCCCGAGCTCTCATACTCTGATGGTACATTGTCTTTGAGTTGTACGACTTTTGGCGTCATCTGGTCCAACACCATGTGAGACTAGGCTCTAAGAAAAGCTGTCTCGAGTGTGGACCAATCAATTTCAAGGACAGTGCATACATTATCAGAGTTGTGTTTTTTTTTGCATTCTGACCGCAGGTATTGTGGTCAATGCAAACATGACTCCTCGTAAAAAAAGGTGTCAGTTTTGTTGCCAGATAAAAGGGTAAAAAAACAATAATCATATTTTGCTACTGGCAAAGGTGGTTCCAATAGTGCATTGGGAGCTTCTCAAACTACGTAATTATTTATTGATTTAAAGCTTTATTGACTGCAGGAATTAATACTCTTTGGGTCTTTCGGTAAAATCGCGTACATAGAAAATAATAGATCACGACGTTTCGATCGCAACACAAGCAATCGTCTTCAGGTGAGAGAAAAAGCTGCTGAGACAAGGTCTTATATAGGCCTGAGATGGGTGCATCAAGGTAGGTGGGTGGAGCTATAGATGGTCCAACCAATTGAAATAAACACGGAGAAACCGTATAGAAAAAATATCCCAAGACAAAAAATAGTACAAATCTGTAAATAATAAAAGGGGTAAAACCTCTTCTTATATTTTGCTACTGGGAAAGGAGGTTCCCATGATGTAGCTGCTCACCCCGAGCTGTCATTGTTCTGATGGTGGCGTTGTCTTTGTGCTGTGTACGCCTTTTGGCGCTGTCCTCTGGTCTAACACCATTTGAGACGAGGCTCGAAAAAAAGCCGTCTCTGGTGTGGACCAATCAGTTTCACAGATAATGCACATACTATCACAGCATGTGTTTTGTTTGCATATTGATCGCGAGTATATTGTGGTTAATGCAGACAAGATTCCTTGCAAAAGGTTCCAGTTCGGCGTTTATTTAAAGCTTTCGTGACTGCAGGGATTCATATTCTTGGTACTTTCGGTAAAGTCATCAAGTAGAAGGGAAATAATAAAATAATAAAATATGAAATAATTAAAATTTCTCACGACGTTTCGATTGCAACACGAGCAATCATCGTCAGGTGTGAAAAACACAGCAAGAATTTTTTCAAAAATTTTCTCGCTGTTTTTCACACCTAAAGTCACGTAGAAGAAAAACAATAAAATAAAAATTCTCACGACGTTTCGACTGCAACACGAGCAATCATCGTCAGCTGTGAAAAACACAGCAAGACAATTGTATTACTTTATTATTTCCCTTCTACGTGACTTTACCGAAAGAACCAAGAATATCTTAACACCTGTTTTGTTGCCAGAAAAGGGGAAAACCGCTTCTTATATGTTGCTACTGGCAAAGGAGGTCCCATGAAGTAGTGAGCCAGATGAAGACGAATTAAACTTAAGCAGAGGATTAAAGCAAATGCAATCAGGCGAGGGCAGGAGGCAAGGCCCCGCGTGGCTAGGCCCCGCGTTGTAATGTTCAAACCTGGATATCGATTCCATACTCGCTGCTACTCAATTGATATCCCTACGAGAGAGAGACGGAGAGAGGCTCTACCTGGGTAAACAACAACAACCACGACAACAACAACCACGATGTTAACTTCTCACCTCGGATCTGAGAGCGAGCGCGGTAGTAGCAGCTCGTGACGTCACGCGACAGCAGGTGATATGACGTCACTTGCGGGGTTCAACACAATCCCCTCCCCCCAACGATCGGCGGTGTAACAGAATAAATTATATTTCGATTTAAAGCTTTCGTGACTGCAGGGATTCATCTTCTTGGTTCTTTCGGTAAAGTCACGTAGAAGGGAAGTAATAAAATAATAAAAATAAAACATAATAAAACAATTCTCACGACGTTTCGGCCACAACGCAAGCAGCCGTCCTCAGGTGAAAACCAGGTCCGTCGAGGCGACAGAGTCTGAATGAAACAGCACACGAGCTTGGAGCATATATATAAGCTGGGCGCATTGACAAAGGAATTTGCATATCAAAAGGAATTTAGCATATTTATGGGAAATGCAGGAATGTGATTAGTACTGCATATGCATGTGCATTATGCAGGATTAACAGCATCAAAGGGAGCTGCAGTTACTGCTGCTGCAGCAGTTGCTGCTGCTGCTGCAGTTTCTGCTGCTGCTGCAGATGCTGCTGCTGCTGCAGATGCTGCTGCTGCTGCAGTTGCTGCTGCTGCTGCACTTGCTGCTGCTGCTGCACTTGCTGCTGCTGCTGCACTTGCTGCTGCTGCTGCTGCAGTTGCTGCCTTATCCATTTTAATATAACACTATGTATTATTCTACCCACCCTAATGTGTATCATACTGCTATATGTTTACTGTACAATTACGACACCATACATTACTCTGCACACTGCACCATGCCAGTGAGTGGAACGTGGTCTGAAAGTCACCGTAAACGTGAACACAATCAGTTAAGATCCGAAATGGTTTATTACGTCCTTCCAATGATTGCTAAGCCAGAATCCATCTTCTCGGTTGAAATTGTCTCTGTGTTTGTATATGTGGATCGCCTCATGAACGAATCTCTCATGATAGCCAGATGGCTTGCAGAGAACCTCTGTCTTGGAGAAGTCAATGTCATGTGAGCCCACTGAATTGTAACAGTGATCTGCCACGGCTGAGGTGTTTGTCCTACCGTGTTTCAGGTCTGCCTTATGTTCACGGATGCGGTCCGAGACATGTCGTTTGGTTTCTCCAATGTAACTGCTACCACAGAGGCAACTTAGTTTGTAGACGCCAGGGTACTGTATGTCTGGAACCACATCTTTTACAGACGGGACCAGATCACGGATTTTATGTACTGTGTTGAATCGGACCTGGATCTTGTGTTTAATCAGGATTTTGGAGATCTTTTTTGTGACCCCAGCAATGTAGGGTAAGGTGATGGTCTTGAAAGGCTCCTCAACAGGATCCTTCTTGATGGTTGGAGTGATGGCTTTGCGGATTGTGTAGTCGGAGTAACCATTAGCCTTAAGAGCTTGGCGTACGTGTTTGAGTTCACTGGAAATGTGTTCATGGTCGGAGATGCATTGGGCTCTATGACATAGAGTCTTGATGAAGGAATTCTTCTGGGATGGATGGTGGTGGGAATCCGGTTTTAGATAAGCATCCGTGTGGGTGGCTTTCCTGTAGACAGAGTGGCTCATTGAACCGTCAGGTCTCCTTTTGATTAGGACATCCAAAAAGGGTAGCTTGCCATCATTTTCGACTTCCATGGTGAATCTGATGGCTGGGTGTATGGAATTGATGTGGTCGAGAAATTGGTCTAGAGCAGGCCGGCCATGTGGCCAGATGACAAAAGTGTCGTCTACGTACCTCTTCCATAAGGTCGGGCGTAGAGTGGCAGTCTGGATGGCGTCCGTCTCAAATTTCTCCATGAAGATGTTGGCTACAACCGGAGATAGGGGAGAGCCCATTGGGGTGCCCTCAATTTGCTTGTAGAAGGTTCCATTCCAGGTGAAGTATGTATTGGTTAAGCAGTGTCTCACCAGGGGGGGTACCCCAGCATTCAGTCCTTGATGAACCAAGTCTTCAATGATTGCGATGGTGTCAGGCACAGGCACCTTGGTGAACAAGGAAACCACATCAAAACTGACAAGCAGGTCGTCTGGGGACAGGGCAATCCCCTTGATTGTCGATACCAGGTCAGTAGAGTTTAGTACTGCAGAGGTGGTTTTTCCAGTGAAAGGCCGTAGGATTTCGGACAAAAAACGAGCCAGTTTGTAAGTGGGGGAGTTGATAGTAGAGACAATGGGACGAAGAGGTGTATCTTCTTTATGTATCTTTGGCAAGCCGTACAATCTTGGTGGCCTGGCTGCAGAAGGTTTCAACGAGAACTGTTTGGTCTGATCAATTAATGCGGTTGCAGCAGAAATGATGTTGTTGGTTTTGGAGACGAGGCTGTTGGTGGGGTCTCTTTTTATTTTTGTATAGCTGCCATCGTTGAGTAGTTCTTGAATTTTGTTGTTGTATTCTATTTTGTCCATGATGACAGTGGCATTGCCTTTGTCGGCTGAGAGGATGACAATGTCATCCCTCTTTTTTAATTGAGCTAATTCAAAACGCTCATCTTTGCTGATGTTGCTAGCTGGCATCTTAGCGTTTTTTAGGGTTACAGAGATTTCAGATCTTGCTACGTCTGCAGCGATGTGACTCAAGCCCTTGAGAGCTACATCTACTCGAGCAATTATATCATTAACTGGTATGTGTCTAGGTGTGACTGCAAAGTTTAGTCCTTTAGCTAAAACGGATTTCAAACCTTCAGAAATAGGACTGTTACTGCGATTAATTACGACTTTGTTAACATCTAGCTTTTCAATGTGTGGGTCCGGTTTCTTGTTTGAGAGGCGGTTGAATTTGGAAATCAAGTTGTCCTTACATTTAGTCGACATAGCGGCAGCTGAAGAGGCAGTCATTTTTTCCACATGTTCCCAATCCGATGTGGACATTGTTACACTCAAAGATAAGTGTGATTTGTAGAGTGTCTTGTCTAACTGATCTAGTTCGGTGCGCGTAAGTCTGATTTTCTCTGAGATAAGAGCTAAACTAGTTCTAGACAGAATTTGTTTCGCATTAGAAGACGTTACAGCAGCAGATGTTAGTGTAAATGCGTTTGGTATTACCTTAGAGTCGCGGCATCTCTTCAGAAAGGTGAGAGACTCGATTAGCTGAGCCTTCTTATCCCGGAGCTTGTTGAAGGATCTCAAAGTTATGTGGAAACCCTCCCCGTAGAGGCGGTTAAATTTCGATTTAAAGCTTTCGTGACTGCAGGGATTCATCTTCTTGGTTCTTTCGGTAAAGTCACGTAGAAGGGAAGTAATAAAATAATAAAAATAAAACATAATAAAACAATTCTCACGACGTTTCGGCCACAACGCAAGCAGCCGTCCTCAGGTGAAAACCAGGTCCGTCGAGGCGACAGAGTCTGAATGAAACAGCACACGAGCTTGGAGCATATATATAAGCTGGGCGCATTGACAAAGGAATTTGCATATCAAAAGGAATTTAGCATATTTATGGGAAATGCAGGAATGTGATTAGTACTGCATATGCATGTGCATTATGCAGGATTAACAGCATCAAAGGGAGCTGCAGTTACTGCTGCTGCAGCAGTTGCTGCTGCTGCTGCAGTTTCTGCTGCTGCTGCAGATGCTGCTGCTGCTGCAGATGCTGCTGCTGCTGCAGTTGCTGCTGCTGCTGCACTTGCTGCTGCTGCTGCTGCACTTGCTGCTGCTGCTGCACTTGCTGCTGCTGCTGCTGCAGTTGCTGCCTTATCCATTTTAATATAACACTATGTATTATTCTACCCACCCTAATGTGTATCATACTGCTATATGTTTACTGTACAATTACGACACCATACATTACTCTGCACACTGCACCATGCCAGTGAGTGGAACGTGGTCTGAAAGTCACCGTAAACGTGAACACAATCAGTTAAGATCCGAAATGGTTTATTACGTCCTTCCAATGATTGCTAAGCCAGAATCCATCTTCTCGGTTGAAATTGTCTCTGTGTTTGTATATGTGGATCGCCTCATGAACGAATCTCTCATGATAGCCAGATGGCTTGCAGAGAACCTCTGTCTTGGAGAAGTCAATGTCATGTGAGCCCACTGAATTGTAACAGTGATCTGCCACGGCTGAGGTGTTTGTCCTACCGTGTTTCAGGTCTGCCTTATGTTCACGGATGCGGTCCGAGACATGTCGTTTGGTTTCTCCAATGTAACTGCTACCACAGAGGCAACTTAGTTTGTAGACGCCAGGGTACTGTATGTCTGGAACCACATCTTTTACAGACGGGACCAGATCACGGATTTTATGTACTGTGTTGAATCGGACCTGGATCTTGTGTTTAATCAGGATTTTGGAGATCTTTTTTGTGACCCCAGCAATGTAGGGTAAGGTGATGGTCTTGAAAGGCTCCTCAACAGGATCCTTCTTGATGGTTGGAGTGATGGCTTTGCGGATTGTGTAGTCGGAGTAACCATTAGCCTTAAGAGCTTGGCGTACGTGTTTGAGTTCACTGGAAATGTGTTCATGGTCGGAGATGCATTGGGCTCTATGATATAGAGTCTTGATGAGGGAATTCTTCTGGGATGGATGGTGGTGGGAATCCGGTTTTAGATAAGCATCCGTGTGGGTGGCTTTCCTGTAGACAGAGTGGCTCATTGAACCGTCAGGTCTCCTTTTGATTAGGACATCCAAAAAGGGTAGCTTGCCATCATTTTCGACTTCCATGGTGAATCTGATGGCTGGGTGTATGGAATTGATGTGGTCGAGAAATTGGTCTAGAGCAGGCCGGCCATGTGGCCAGATGACAAAAGTGTCGTCTACGTACCTCTTCCATAAGGTCGGGCGTAGAGTGGCAGTCTGGATGGCGTCCGTCTCAAATTTCTCCATGAAGATGTTGGCTACAACCGGAGATAGGGGAGAGCCCATTGGGGTGCCCTCAATTTGCTTGTAGAAGGTTCCATTCCAGGTGAAGTATGTATTGGTTAAGCAGTGTCTCACCAGGGGGGGTACCCCAGCATTCAGTCCTTGATGAACCAAGTCTTCAATGATTGCGATGGTGTCAGGCACAGGCACCTTGGTGAACAAGGAAACC